ATGAGAATGTCCCCGATTTTCACGATTGGTTTTTGCAATATCAGGCCGAACCCTTCCGAAATCATTTGATAGCTGCTGTGAGAATCCAAGTCGACTATGTTAATCGAGATGGAACAGCTCGTTTATTGTCCCAGACGATAGATCTAAATCTTTGTTTTCAACTTGTTGTTGGTATTGATCATGGTCCTAAAAATAAACAAACAAAAAATAATGTTAGTCATATCTTCAAGAAACGTTTAACTGTTGAAAAATAAACTGAAACGAAAGACCTTTGAATCAATGAAAGTTCCTAGAACCATAAAAACGTGTAACACGATGGTGGTGAGATGTTGAAAGATATAATGAAAATGGTATGGTGAATTTGGAATAATGAGTACCACACAGCATTTGATCAATTTTATCATTCTTTGTATACTTCTTGTAAATGATGTTTTTACGGCTTTTCGAGCAGTCTATGAAAATTATTTTCTATTCCAACATGAAACGAAAGACCTTTGAATTTTTTTCCGAAACTTTCCTGCTGTCCAGAATTTGTCCGGAATTGGAGATTTTCTGGTTTCTCCTATTTACGACATTTATAAAGTTCAGTATAGTCAGCGCGCGGTGGAATAGAAAATAATTTTCATAGACTGCTCGAAAAGCCGTTCACTTTTCTTTCGTTTTTTCTTCTCTTCCATTCGTCGAACTCGAATGTCAACTGAGTTAATTTAGGCGGAATTAAAGATACGTCTAAATGCACAGATCTCTTGCACAGATATATATAATTATTTGTTAGCAAAGCCAAATTTACTAAAATCGATATGTCCAGTTGAGAAATATTCGATCAAAACACAGCGAGTTGAATAATAAAGAATTTTTATTTTGTTTGTTTCTAAATTTTATTTTAAAACATAGAACCAAATGGAGTGAATATTTCTGCGGTTTAGCATAAAAAACGGGTGATTTTCGATAAAAAAACGTGTATCCGGAATTGAAGATAAAACTTTCCGGATTTTAAGATTTTTTGTCCGGATTCTATCCCGAACGGTTGGTAACTATGACTGTAAAGTCCAGTACTGTTTTATAATTTTCTTGAAAGTGGTTCTGTGAAGATCGAAACGTCAGAATTTAAAATAAATATATTTAAACTTAATTCATAGCTGCTGCTTCGAAAAACAAGATTCTGATAGCCTGTATCAAAAACGAAGCAGGTATCAAACAATCGAACTCAATACTTACATGTTGCGTAACAGCAGCTATTATCAATTTCACTTGTTACAGCTATGGTGTTCCCCGTAGTAACATTATAGCTGGTGTTCTCCATACCGATTTAGTGTTCCGCAAATAGCAAAAAATATAGTTTAATGTTTTAATCGCAAAAATAACGAAAAAGAACATTACCAAAACCAGAAAATCAAAAAAAAGAAAACAAAACACAATAGCAATAAAACATTACATCCGAAATTGTCGAATATCCGTTAGAATTGCGGGAAACATGTCCTTATGGACCGAGCGGTACCAGAACTCGTTTAAACGGCTATCTAATAATGTTGAGCCACGCATTATTCTTAATAGTTTGGCAATTCTAATTGATATTCCACAATTTCGGATGTAATGTTTTTATTGCTGTTGTGTTTTGTTTTCTTTTTTTTGATTTTCTGGTTTTGGTAATGTTATTTTTCGTTATTTTTGCGATTAAAACATTAAACTATATTTTTTTCTTACAAAATGGTTGTCTGACGATGTCTTGCGTGTGCGCAAAATACGGAAAGATGGCTGTCAGATATTCTGTGGATCAGACAATCGGAAGCGCGAAGAATCAAGAAACTCAAGCGCTTGACTCAAGAAAGTCAAGCGCATGAAATATTCAAGCGCTTGAGATAAGAATTTCATACGCATTACTTTCTTGAGATACGAAACTCAAGCGCATGAGTCAAGAAAGTCAAGTGCATGACATTCTTACTCAAGAAATTCAAGAAAGTCATGTGCTTGAGAAAGAAAGCTTCACCAGGGCAATATCCACCTTTCATATCTTGTTTTTGCTGTCTCTCGGACCTATTCATAACTTGCATGCCTGTGACCATCAACAACGTTTTCACCGAAAACATACTGAACCTTTTATATCATCTGATACAGAGCTTGACGCTAATTCCAAAAGAATAAAACAATTTTCTGAAAACTACTCGGAATCGAGAAAAACACCAAAAAGCGTCAAAACTGGTCAGAAAGGTGAGTATTTCGCAGATTTTCAGCCACGTTACATTTGTAGAAACTTCTGAAGATGGATTCTGAGACCGTAAACCTCATAGTAGTTTTCCCTGGTAAGAACATGGAATCAACAGGTTTCTGCATCAAGATAAATTTGGATCGTTCCGCTTCCAGAGCCACAAAATGCTATTTCTTGAGTTTAATGAGTGAGATCATGAGTTTCCTGTAGAAGAGAATCCATTGTTCTATTTGTGTAAAAACAGTGAATGTTTTTTGAGGTATATTAAATTAAGTCAACTCGTTCTGCATTAATATCGATTCGTTCGAATTCACTGTTTTCACATGAATAGCAAAACGAAGGAAGCGGAACGGTGGAAATTTATCGACAAAATATTTGTAAATCTGCTTGTCTTCTGATCTGATTTTCTTGTGTGTTCTGATTTCCATTAGATATCCACCAGTTTCAAGTAAAACGAAGACAACTGTAACTGTAAACTGTAGAAGTTCAAAAAGAAAGAAAATAATATCTATCTGATTGTTTAGTTTAGAAAAATACAAATGGAACCAAAGAGTTTTAAACAATGAAAGATTCCTTCACCAAAATAAATCAAACACAGTAGAAATGAAAAAATGGAAAAGTTCTAGAGCAGATGTAGTGTCACGGTGAGATAAAACAAGAACGTGCAACAGAAGGTTGAATAAAATACGAATTTAAATGTGAATGAATTAAGTTAATTGTAAAACAAAACTACTGTAGCAGGAAGCTGTTAACCATACGACGAAACGCGGTTGTTTAGTAGTTCTCATATCGTAGTTTTTGTACTGTGACTGTGTACGTCACTGGAATCAATGGTGTTCCAGGAATTTTACCATTATGAGGTAATTTCACAAGATAACTAAAAGTTTCGCCAGTACCGATACACCGTTGGTTTTGACACTTAAGTGTAAACTGTGCTGGGTACACGACTGGTGACGAGCGATTATGGCTTACAAATCCAAAAACTAAATATCTTAATACTAATTTGCTCTTGTTATTGCATTCCCATGTCCCGAAAACATTACTTGTGGGATTTTTTTCACTATTTTCATTCGCACTACTTCCTTGTAAAAAGCCAGTTTGATACAAGTTAAAAAGGTATAGAGCTACAAATTTGGGTGTTGTTCTAAATTTAACTCTGAACGCGTAGACGCCACTCAAATTGCTGTGGCATGATCTAATTGATGGACTTGTCAAATAACGATTTGAAGTGAATGTTAGTGATGGAGATGAACTACCATCACGAAATGGCATACGTTGATATTGCAACGGATAATAACTGCTTGTTAGTTCACCTGTACAGTTTTCATACTGTGTTGAGCCATCGGCTTTCGCTGGACATTGCATGTAAAATGAAGATGAACCAATCGATTCTCTGTTTGTTACCCTGTTGGCTGGGTAATTAAAATAGTTGGAAATTCCATTAACTGCACGTGTATTAGTACAATACCACGCTCCTAAATATAAATGTACAAATGAAAGACAGATTATTGTGTCGTTAGAGTTGTTCAACAAATCTAGGGTCATAAAAAGAACAAGGCATCTGATATGAGTACGTTCATGAAACGAAGACGAAAAGAAAAGGAAGAACAGTGATAGCGTCACTAATAAACAGTAATATAGTCAATCTTGAACGTATAAGAACAACATTGACAGTTCTTCTCCTCTCCCTCTCCATGGGACATACATACATATATATATATACGTCTGATGATGATACAGTTTAACTTTCAATAATTTTCAGTTCTCAAAATGCATGCGTAATTTTTTCTAACTTGTAGTTGTTTTATTTGATCGGCTTGTGCGGCTAACGGTCTCCTTTTCTTGTACTTGTTCGAAAAACCCTTGCCATAAAGCTAGAAGCTAATTTAAAATCCTAAAAAAATAACTGAGTAGATTAAACATTCCTCTACAAAATGAGAGATGCCACGACTTGGGCAGCTGATTTATTGTGAAAATAAAGCTATTTTACAAAGAGTCCATTTCGCGTCTGTCGGGCAAAGGTTTCCAAGAAGTGAAGACAATTAGGGAAATATCGGAAAAGTATATCAGTGTGTAGAAAATAGTTTGCTCTACAAGACATGAAAGTTTTTGAAGTTCGAAACCATCTTAATTAATAACTATTAATTAAAGAAAAGCAAAGGGGTAAGGCATTCACAAATATGGCAGCGTTGCCATCTCCTTTACTTTCCTTTAATCAGTAATAATTAATAAATTTTTTATTAGAAGTTGGCACTGACAGCAAATGCAAGGTATGAAAGCGTGATATTGCTTTTATCAGTTGAGAGGCACTCACACAAATGGCCAAAAATGTGAGTGCGTTACCGTTTCGTATACTTTTCTTTAATCAATAATAGTTAATAAATTTTTTTTAGAAGTTCGCACTGCCCGAGAATATGTTTGTAACTCCGTCAGGGACAGATCGAGAAGTTTTTTGCGCGTGTTACTGGCGAATACCAGAATCAAATGCTCACATACCTTAGGCTGCAAGGTATCCGAATGTATCAAAAACCGACTTATAATACTCACGAAAAAGTTAATTCTATAAGTAGGGTATGCTGGCCAGTTCCGTCTAGAAAGTTTCAACTCTTTTTCTTTCGTCTACTGTACAACAGTAAAAAAGAAAGCAATAATCAGTGAAAAGAGATTGATGCGCAGCAAATAATCTCGCATTTTATAGAGAAATGTTTAATTTACTCAATTATCTGTTTAGGATTTTAAATTAGCTTCTAGCTCTATTGCAAGGGTTTTTCGAACTAGAGGAAATAAACGAGACCGTTAGCCAGACAAGGCGTGATGATGATGATAATTTTATAATTGAAAGTTCATAATTATAATAAAATATATTAAAATTTATTAGGATAGGATTATATGCTATCCGAAACGCAGGAAGGTGAGAAAAAGCTTGTATGAAAAATTAGTCACTTACCGACTCCGGTTCCGCGGTTAAATGTGCCATCTGCGTTTCGCTCATTGGTGAGAACGGTGATGAAGTAACCCGATGGAACCATGACTGTTACAGCATAACTTCCATCTGAATAGCCTGTGAGATAAGTACCAGCCATGTCATTATAGCATTTATTTTCAGGAGAGGTTAGATTAACAATTGGATGTTTGTAGAGACGTTGTGATTCAAATTTATGTTTTATTACTGGTAATATTGGATTGGTAAATTTACCTGTAATTGGATCTGGCAGTTCATATGGATACGTTTGACTAACAATTGTTCCATTTGCACAATAGACAACATTATCGCTGCAGTCACTATGTGCACCAAGGCAATTAACGTCTGAATTTGTCGTAATAACAGTCTGATTACCTGTTTCATTATAATAAATACCATGATGTGATAACTTCGTTCTTGATTTTCCTTGATCTTTACACTCGTAAAAGCCACCTAAATCACTAAAATAAATACCATTCGTCTTTTGATTGGAATTTAATTCAATTACGCCACCGGCAGGAGAGTAGAATTGCAAGCCATAGACATTGTTGTATTGGCGAAGGTATATTTCGCTTATTTCATTGAAACATTTTTTAATTGTATTAGATGCTGCTGATACTGACGTTGCTGGTTGCGGTGCTGCTACAATCATCAGCATTAACAGAGTGGATAAGTACCAACTGCTGGTAACTGTCGTCATTATCATTACCATTCAATTTGCGGTTGGTGTTCGTGAGATATGTGTCGGTGTTGTTCTCCTTTTGGTTGAGGAAGAGCGGATGTTCGGACTGTCCGGAACCGAAATTGTTTTCTCCCTCTACAAAGATTTAAAAATAAGACCGCTCTTCGCTTCTAATATGAGTCATACAGGTGTAAGATACGTCAACATTTGACTTTTATATGTTGACTTTATTCCTGTATTTTCCAATAACAATTCACAACTTTAGGCCTCTGAGCATCAAAAGTCTTATCTTATTATTAATCTTATTATCAACGAGATAACTATCTCCAAATTTGCTTCGACACAAACAAAAGTTAATCGAAGCGTAACTAACAAATAATGTTGTATGAATATTTGCTAAGGGTATTGCTGCTTTCAACTCTTTTTCTTTCTTCTACTGTACAACAGTAAAAAAGAAAGCAATAATCAGTGAAAAAAAATTGATGCACAGCAAATATTCATACAACATTATTTGTTAGTTACGCTTCGATTAACTTTTCTTTGTGTCGAAGCATGGACCCCTCCGGTTAAGAAAAATAGCTTCGTTTGAGCTTGTAATCATAGTTGCCAACCGCTCAGGTCAGGAATCCGGACAGAAACTCTCAAATTCCGGACAAATACGAAAATCTTTTCCCCCAATTCCGGACAAATACGAAAATCTTTTCCCCCAATTCCGGACAAATTCCGGACACACGTTTTTTTATCGAAAATGCCCCGTGTTCACTGTTCAAATGGAAAAAAATTCACTCCACTCAGTTTTATGTTTTAAAATAAAACTTATAAACAAACAAATACACAGAAATTTTTTGTTATTCAACTCGTTGTCTTTTAAACGAATATTTCTCAACTGAATGTACTGATTTTAATAAATCTGACTTCGGTAATAAATAACTGTAGATATCTCAGCATGAGATCTGTGCATTTAGACGTATTTTCAGTTCCGCCGAGATTAATTCAGTTGACGTACGATTTCGACAATCATCGACAAGATATTTCATTTGAGAAAATATGCTTTCTACGTAGGCGTTACTAACGGGTATTGAAAAAATAAATGATATTAACTTGTACATATTTGGAGACGGTGTCGGTTTAACGAAAAACAACATCGACCATAATTGACCGCATCGGATTTGTTTGTTATTCTCTTCATCATACCCCCCTTGCAACTCACTTTGTGATGACAGTGATGACGATGAGGAAGAAGACGACGAAATTGTTTTCATTTCGGTGTTCTGTGGACCAGTTTTTTGACTGATGAAAGCTTGATTTGATCGTAAAGTGGAATTTTCTTATCTTTGATGGCTTTAAACGTCAATTGAATACCATTAAACTCGTCAAACAATTGATCTTCATTCAGCGTTTTTAATTTTAATCGTTCAGTACATTCAATAACTTGTTGCCATGTCAAACGGTCTATTTCTGGAGAACCAAATGGACTAATTGCTTCGAATAAATGAGATGGCACTGAACCTTTTACGATGATAAATTCTCCTTGTCGGTTTCTCTTCTTCTGCGAATAATACTCATCTATATATTCTATTGTTCGTTGAATGAATTTAACAAATGAATTTTTTAATTCAACAGCTTTTTCTTCCGATAAACTTGCTAATTTTGATCTACCGTTTGAACCAAAAAATGATGAATCTAATCATTGTTGCAGTTCAAATTTTAACGATGTAATCAAACGATGAAGTTCCACTGCAGTTGTGTAGCTTCGTTGAAGTTGTAAACTCGTTTTCTGTATAATGAATAAAATATGTTCTAGAAAACTGAGCACACATGGACCTTCTTCAAGTGAAAAAAATTGTATTAATTCGTTTAGACAATCATCTTGTGCTATGAAATAATCTTTTATTGGATTGTAAACTTTTAGAATTCGTTCGATAGACGTATGACGAGATAACCATCTTGTTTTTATATGTTTAAGAATGACCTGCAAACATGGAGAGCAAAGAGAACAGTTATTCGGCAGTCAGATTTCTAGGGAATGAACTCCAGAAGGCCTTTATATTATCAGATAATCTTGTTCATAAAACTTATAGTATGTTTTTAATTCTTTAATTCGTTTTGCAGATCGGGAGAAATGTGTATAAATAGATAATAAAATTTTTTCAACATCAATGGTCAATAGTTTATGTGCTTGTTTGACGCTGTTGTACAATATGTGATTATAACAAGATCCTAGAAAGACAAAGGAAGAAAGAACGTAGTTAAAAGTTTAAACTGAAAGTTAAATTCTGCCGAATAGTCTAGTAAACTTTACTTTATTTTCAACAAGTTTTTTCTTGCGAATGATGAATGATAATAGTAACTTACCTTTAATTAGATCTGAAAATTCGTCACGAAATAATTTGTATACACTCTGCTGCTCTCCGACATTTACATTTGTGTTATAAACACCGATTGTGGTCAAATTTTGCACATTTAAATGATGTTTTTCCAATACTTCGCGTGCATTTCTGTGCACATTCGTAGCTGATCCACTTGCATCATCAATAAAATCAACGCTACCTAAAAAGATAATCAAACATTTTTGGGATTGGGGGAAAAAAAGAATTAAATTAATGTACCTTTTTTGACTCCAATTTCTGACAAATACTGAACACAAAATGGGTACATTTTCATATTTCCTTTATTGCTGGCATCGAATGACATTGAAAAGTATTGCGAAAATTGTATTTCATTCAATATCTTATTTGTGAAAAATGGAGCTAATGCATTAATTGATATTGCCGTTGCTTTCGTTCTTGCACATGATAAATTTTTTGCCGTATTTGATGTTGAAAAAATTGTTTTACAAACATTTGTTGAACATTCTTGAGCCAAATAGGATAAACCATGTTTAATACTATGATAGATCAACGTAGCTTCAGCAGCAGCCAGTTCATTTTTCTCTTTATTCGGTTTCATCATATTTGTGATTAAATTCTGATTAATATTAAAATTTAACATATTTTTTTTGTGTTTTACCATTGGCATGTGAAATAACATTGGTTCTTCCACCGTAATAAACATTTAATTCAGTATTACACGCTTTACAAGTTGCTTTTTTATCATCCAATTTAAATTCTTTCAAAAAAAGGAAAATCTTTAACCCATTCAGTTTGAAATGAACCTTTTTTCTCTCGTTTTCTCGTCTTCTTCTTCTCTATCGTTTCGTCATCGATTTGTTCAATTTGTTGTACAGGCGATAGTTGACTGACAGCTTCTAAATTTTCCTTTTCCTCCTCCATAGCTATAATAGACTATGTTATTGATGAACAGCCTGATAGAAAAACCTGACTAACAAAGATATGTTCGAAAAGGCAAAGAGAGGAAGAAGAATAGAAATAAAGCAGAAATGGAAGCAACATAATTGGCTATATCAATAGCCTATGAGTTTTCACAGTACACCCCCGCGTATAGGCAATTTAAAATTTTTATATGTCGTAATAAAAAGGCAAAAAGATGAAATTCCCGAATTCCAGACCAAGTCCGGACCACGGACCACTTCCGGACAAAACTTCAAATTCCTTATTTACTACTTCAAAGTATAATCACTGTTGAAAGTTATTCACAAAGACGGTGCATACATTCAGTAATTGTTTTGGCTCTACACTGTTCACAAGGAGAAATACATAAATGTGGACATACCAATAAGCTATTCATGATATTCTGACAAGCAAAGTAATCTAAAATAAAACAAAGTTCTTGCTATTGCTATTCAGCCCTCTTACGCTCAAAATAATTTAGAGCTTAGAATTTTTCAGACGTTAACATTTCTTCATCTTTTTCAGCGTAAACAAGATTGTTTGGACTTCTTTTTCTTTCATATAAATAGCAGTATATATTACAAAATGTATATATAAATCTCATGCACGCACATGAAAAAAGTTAAGAGTGACAATGTATATACATAAGACACGTGTCTCTGTCAAGTATAAAGAAGTATATATTGAAATTGCATATAGGAACAAATACACGTGGACCTTTCAGACAAAACAAAAACAAACCTTTTCCTTACTGTACTTATCTATCTTACGATCTTTCTGACTTCGCTTATCAAAAGGCTAAACGTTTATTTTTGCTTCGTTGGAAAGATGCATTTCTGGAGTCAATGTGCCTAATAAGAATGGACTTTTTTTCTTTGACTTCTTTTGAACTCAAGGAATTTTGGTGCAAACTAATTAACTTTTCACATCAGATTTGGGAGATTCTTCTCTACTCATATATAGAGGTATAGAACTTCCTTTGAAAATTATTATAAACTAGTCAAAAGAAGTTCAAACAATCCTGTTTACGCTGAAAGAGATGAAAAAATATTAACTACTACTGAATGTATGCACCGTGAATAACTTTCAACAGTGATTATACTTTTTATGATCCAGTTAAGAAAATTTAGACTAATTTCTTTTGGATAAAGTTAAATAAATTTTTTAGCCTACTGGAGAAACAACCAGAAAGAATATGAGACTATGAAGAATGCACCGTCCTTGCTTGCCTTATTATTCTCCTGTGATCTGTTCTTGAAGACAAATGCCGAGTAAAACAGACCGTAATTTCGTCTAAAAGAGATTACGTTATGCTGCTTTAAGAAAGCAGATATATAATTTGGAATACTTTTAGAAATGCCTATGAAAAAAATTCTTGAGCTTTGATCATTTTTTTCGATCACCTTAAATATAATACAAAAAAAAAACGATGGGGAAGTATAGACTCGATAGCTTAGTGGAAAGAGCAGAAAGAAAGAAATTATTACGGCGTGGGTTCGATTCCTCCTCGAGTCGTTATATTTTTGTTGCTTCTTTTTGTTTTTTTCTCTTAAAAACTTTCCAAAAAATTGTTTGCTTCCCTACTGGCAGTACCCTGGGCCAGTTTTGATGGATACATATACAATCGACTAGCCTCTGTCCAAAAATGTGGTTTTCATCCACTGTAGTCCTATTTAAAAATTTTACATTTCGGTGATATGACCAAGATAAGCACTAATAAATGACTGACCACTTTTCATGGCTGATCACCCTTTCAGGACAATCAAGGCAGAGCCTAAATTTGTCATATGAGCATCACAATATCGAGAAGCATATTTCTGCAAAATTTCATGATGGTCGGATGCATGGTTGTCGAAATACTTGCCTAGATGGTGTGTGCTTGCTCGTCTTTTTCTCTGATATATCTGAGAAACGATCAAATGAATGTGCAAAAATTGCTTTAAAACATTTAGAACGATCTAAGAATAAATAAAAGAGACGTTTTGTATGTAGTAGGCTGCTCTTGCTTTATCGCATTCACAGTGATACCACCTATAATTATTTCAAAATTATTCTGCAACCCATCGCCAGGGTGACACCAAAATTTTGTGATAACCCTTTTTGGATATGCTGAATCTGATTTTTATACTTTCGGGCCTTAATTCCGCCCTTCTCAATAGGTCATTCCGGCCACATGCTATACATAAATGTCGACTTTTTATAAATTAGTGCAATAGGAAAATACGTAGTTGGAGCAGTGCAGTGTATGAAAGATCGGCAGATCGAATCTAGGAGAAGAACTTCAAAAGTTGTTCTAATCGAAAAACTCTCCTATAAACAGTATTCTCTACAAAAACCTCGTTCTAACCGCTCGAGAGAGTTATACAAAATCAACTTTTGTACCTTATCACCAGCATTGCTAGTAAATGGTTCGTGGTACACTTTGTGTCGACGTTAAATAAGGTCGGCATTTATGCATACTATAGCTAATAGTAACATGTGAGTGATCACTTGCAAAGACTATTTAAATATATACGTAAGTGTACGGTCATCATAACTCGTAGTTTCCTATTCTGATATATAGATCTTTTTTCTTCTTCTGACATGGAAAATGTAGAAAATGCACATATTATTGTTGAAAAGCACACATACAATGTTGCGTCTTGAAGATTTAGCTAACGAATTACTACTCGAGATTCTTGCGCATATTTATGTTGTCAATTTATCAGCCAACAGAAGAAGTCAGACTGTTTTAAAACTACAACTTAGCAAAATAATAGATCAAGTTCGACACATTTTCAAGTATTAAACACAAATATCTTAAGACTTGGTGAATTAAGTAGACTTATGCATATTCAACATAATCCATTTTAAAGGAATAGTAGTTTTGCTTTCTCAATAATAATCAAGTATAGAATTCATCTGTTGTTTTTTCATCCCTCTCAAGAATATTTAAACGAAAGATAACTCTTCATATTATCGTAATGTTGCAATATGACTAATGCATTTTTGAAAAGAATGACTAGAGACAGAAATAAGAGCTTTTTATTCATGGTCACAAAAGTATTTATTCTAGTTACGCTTCGATTAACCTTTCTTTGTGTTGAATCAAATTTCAGGTAAAATGCTGACGTATCTTCCACGGTGAAGTGTCTGAATCTGTCAACAGCCGAGTCTTATAATCAACCGTACTGCATCTTATACAACGTACGTATGCGTCTCGTCCGTAGTGAGCAGTTTACCTTGCGACATTTAAGATCTACAACAGCAAGAGTTTCAGCTTTGCAACGGAATAAGATAAGTAAGTAAGAATCATATTTCGAAACTTTCACCTTATTATGCTTCGGACCTATTCATAAGTTGCACGCCTCTTTCTATTGTACTTTTAATACATTGTGTAAAGCACTTAAATGACACAAGAAAACCAAGGGCAACAATTGATGAAGCAGGTATGCTGTCTAGATCGTTCTTTGTTATTCTTCAGTTAGGACGTTATTATTATCGCTTTTCTCTCAACTAATAAAATCAATATACAGCTTTCATATCTTGTTTTCGCTGTCTCTGGGACCTATTCATAACTTGTACGCCTGTGACCATCAAAAACCTTTTCACCGAAAAGATACTGAACCTTGAATGTTGAATTTTATGGCGCTACAAGAAAAAGTAATCAATTTGTTGACTATTTGTTGTTTTCAAGACCAACATTTGACGCTGAAGTTGCAGTAAAAACTGTATTGAAAAAATTAAAGATTCATTAATATCGTCCGTTGCTAACGAAAGTTCGTTTTCGCCTTTCTGATAAGACTAATAATGTTTACTGTGATTAAAGATCTGTAGCTACATTCCTGTTTCTTTCTAAACAAAAGAAAGATTTGTTTACGCGTAAATGGATGTTATTTTTTCTATGTTAGTATTTTGTTTATCGCCAAGCATTTTTTGTACTACTCATCATGTAAGTTATATTTTTTTATGCAGCACTAAACTGTCTTAGTCCTGAATATTTATATGAATTTGCAAATTTTCTACTTTTGTTCTCATTAGTAATTTGCTAATCTTTTTGAAAAGTGTGTTCTTTTCCTTCAGTTCTAAAGAAAGATGTGCTTGTGCCTCTTTTATATGTATTCGTTCATACTTTTCTCAAATATTGTACTTTTTTGCTGCGTAAAGTAGGTTCTTCAATAATAGAACAAATTTATTTTATTGAAATAATCTCATTTCTGCTTTGGCTTCAACTGTCTTTACCAAATGGATAAGTAATTATTTTTTGATTTTCTATACTAAATTTTTTTGAATGTGCAAAATTTGTGACTATTGTTTACTCCATTATTTTTCTTATGCCAATAAAAGCCACATTTTTCATTAGGCAAATAATGGATATTTCTTGTAAAAAATACTAAACAACAAATGAGGGCCATTACAAACAGACTATGAGATTCACACAAGATGCGAATCATTCCATATCGTCTGATCAAGTTACTGAATAATTTTTATCAGAATACAGAAAATAAAATCCAATAATTCACTTTGGAAAAGATTTTTTCAGAAGATATGATAACACATCCAAAAGGAGAACCAAACGCAAGGAACATGTTCTCCGAAAAACTAAAAAATAGAAATGTGTTTTTCGACATGATGTTTTCTGAAGAACAAATGTCCCAAATAGGGATCTGCAAAAATGAAAAA